CTGCTGCTGCTGAGAGCCAGAGAGCCATCTCCCTATTTATCTTTATTTATGTTTCCTTGTGTCTTTGCGAAGACATAGACATGTTCTGGTGTCTTATCAAAGACATATATAAATATTCACTTAACTCGTCCCTCCACCGTCTTCTGGTGTACATACACCCCACTGCTGCTTATTCTTGAGTCTACACTGTATATAACTGTATATAATATATACACATTTATTATTACATTTATTAGGTATATATATATATATATATATATACATGCCTGCCTGCAGTGCATGCCCATGATACCAACAAGAAGGTAAATATACATAAATAAATATACATAAACAAATATAAATAAATAAATAGAAGTAAATAATATATATATATATATATATATGTATTGTGTGTTGGGTGTATGTACAGCCCACGGTATACTACGCGGCCTTTAAACTGCCTTTCGTTTTGATAACGCAGCGCTGTCTTGTAAAGGTCAGAGAAAACAGACAGCAGCAACTGTCTCCTTCTACTGTCTCCTTCTACTGTCTCCTTCTTCTGCCTCTCTTTCTTCTGTCTCCCTCTTCTGTCTCTGTCCCTCTGTCTCTCTGTCTCTCTCTATCTCTCTCTATCTCTCTCTCTCTCTCTGTCTCTCTCTCTCTTTCGTCTGTCTCTTTCTTCTGTCTCTTTCTTCTGTCTCCTTCTTCTCTGCCTTTCTGTTTTTTTCTGTGCCGTTCACTCGACCCATATCCGTCTGTCCCTGTCGCTGTCTCTGCACATTCGTGGCTCCTACTGCTGTTCGCGCTGCTGCTGCTGCTGCTGCTCCTACTGCTACTGCTACTGCTGCCGCTGCTGCTGCTGCTGCTGCTGCAGGCGTTCCCCCCGAGTTTCATAGACGACGCGCTGCGGCAGCAGGCTGAGGATGCGCGTGAGGAGTGGGAGTACAGAGTGAGTCCTTCTCTGTGCTAGCTAGCTAGCTACTTGGCTAGCTAGGTAGCTAGCTAGCTATATGAAGGTGTTCTGCTGTCTATGCTGCTTGTTGCAGTGGCGGGGGATCCACGGGGAAGATGCTGCAGGGCCAGAGGAGACAGGAGGAGGGCCTCAGCCTCTCGAGGCTCCCAGCTAGCTAGCCAATGAACTAGCTAGCTTGCTAGCTAGCTTGCTAGCTAGCCAGCCGGCTAGCTACCCAGCGAACAGGCTAGTTATCTAGATAGCTAGCCAATGAACTAGCTAGCTAGCTAGCTAGCTAGCTAGCCAAAGGGAGTGGAGACTTCGCTAGCTGGCTAGCCGTTCTGGCGGCTCTTTGCTGGTTCTTGCGCCAGGCTGCTCTCTACTCTCCCTGGGTCTGTGCCTCTCGGCAAACCCTAAACCCTAAACCCTGAAGGCCTTTAACAATGCTGTTTACAAAACTTCACCTCGAGCTGCACTGCAGCAGCAGCAGCAGCAGCCAACGCCCACCGAGGGAAGGCCAAAGCCTCGTCTCGATGGGACAGCCATCAAGCCAACCATCTGGCTAGCTAGGTAGCTAGCTAGCTAGCTAGATAGCTAGTCAGCTATGAGGCCTAGCTAGCTAGCTAGGTAGATAGCTAGTAAGCTATGAGGCCTGACTGGTTAGCTAGCTAACTGACTAGCTAGCTAGCTAACTGACTAGCTAGCTAGTCATATAGGAAGCCCAGCTAGCTAGCTAGCTAGCTAGTCAGCTATAAGGCCTAGCCCCCAGAATGGGGCCTGCCTTCTCGTGTACGGCGCGGAGGAAGGGCTCTGCTAAGGCCTGGCGGTAGTGAATGTCAGCTCCGTCTAACTCCTCAAGAAACACCTGCTGGTGATAAGGCAGCAGCAGCTGCTGCTGCTGTTGCTGCTGCTGCTGCTGCTGTTGCTGCTGCTGCTGCTGATCAGCTAGAGGCGCGGAGGCTCGAGGTCCTCTCCAAAGGAGAGCTAAGGAATCAATGGCCGCCTGCGACACCGTAACAACAGCGGCAAAATACAGCCGATGCTGCTGCTGCTGCTGCTGTTGACGGCAGCAGAGTAGGAGCAGCTACTGCTGCTGCTGTTGTCTGTGGCGAGAGACACGCCTTTGAAGCAGGAACAGCAGCAGCAACAGCCGGAACAGCAGCACAGAGAGCAACAGCATCAATAGCAGCAGCAGGAACAGCAGCAGCAGCAACAGCAGCAAGCTTGCCTCCATATTATCGGTGTCTGCGTCCCATGCAGCAGCAGCAGGACGGCGCGGCAGCAGCTGCTGCCTTCTGGCGACAGCAAGAAGAAAAAATCTGCCTGAGAGGGTCCACCCCTTTGCAAACTTGTACGCTCGAGCTACAAACCCTGAAGCAGCAACACAATCATACCTGCTGCTGCTACTGCTGCTGCTGCTGCTGTTGCTGTTGCTGCTGCTGCTGTTGCTGTTGCTGCTGCTGCTGTTGCTAATTTTGCTGTTCAGTAGCGGTGGTGGTGGTGGTGCTGCTGCTGCATCAGGATCTGGCGGTGGCTTCCAGATACTATTTCTCACAGTACTGACCCTGCTGTTTCTGTTGCTGCTGCTGCTGCTGTTGCTGCTGCTGCTGCTGTTGCTGCTGCTGCTGCTGTTGCTGCTGCTGCTGCTGCTGTTGCTGCACTTACGCGTGAAGTGTTCTTCGTGGAGTCCCTTCAACGCCTCCACAAGGTCTCGAGCATCCCTGCTGACGGACGGAGGAGTCATCTGCAGCAGCAGAAACAGCAGCAGCCCTTGCGCCCTACGTCTCTAGCAGCAGCTGATGCTGCAGCAGCATCACTAGCAGCAGCTGCTGCTGCTACTGCAGACAGCAGCGGCAGCCCATGCAGTCTACAGCAGCATCTGCTGCTGCAGCACCATCACTCGCAGCAGCAGCGGCAGCAGCAGTATATCCAGCAACAGCACTAACAGCACCAGATGCACCCTAAGTAACAGCAACAGCAGCAGAAACAGCAGCAGCACCAGCAGCAGCAGAACCAGCAGCAGCAGCACCTGAAGCAGCTCTGCAAACGCCTGCACATCAGCAGCAAGGCGCTCAGAACGGACGGGCGAAGACATCGCGAGGAAATCCTGCAGTGCTGCTTCCCTCTGCTGCCGTTGCTCTTGCTGCTGCTGCTGCTGCTGCTCCTGCCACTCTGCTGCTGTAAAATCATCGGTGGCTTCTGGTTCCTGCTGCTGCAGCTGCAGCAGGGAGTCGCAGTAGTGCTGCGGCGGCTGCTGCAGCAGCAGCTCTTGCTGCTCAGTGACAAACTGCAAGTCCACCAGGAACTGCAGAAACGGCTGCAGCAGCAGCAACAACAGCAGCAGCAACAGCAGCAGCAACAGCAGCAGCAACAGCAGCAGCATGTGGAACAGCACGGAAGTGTAATACGTGCACCGCAAACCTAAGCTTGTTTGCTTCTTGAGGAGGCAGCAGCTGCTGCTGCAGCAGCAGCAACAACAGCAGCAGCAACAGCAGCAGCTGCAGTTTCTGAAACAGGGGTTGGGAATTTAAGGCACCTCTCTTGTTTGCTGTGCAAGGGTCCGTGCTTTTGCTGCTGCTTCTGCTGCTGCTGCTTCTGCTGCTGGTCCTGCTGCTGCTACAACAGGAACACGAAGGCCCAGCAATGCATGCAGCTGCTGCTGCTCCTGGAGATAGAAGCCCCTACTCCGCTGCAGCACAAATTTCTTATGCGTATGGATGCCCTGAACATGTTGCAGCAAGCTGCCTTCGTGTCGCTGCTGCTCCTCCGCCTGCATCTGCTGCTGCAGCAGCAGCAGCTCCTGCTGCTGCAAGGCTTCAAACTGCTGCTGCGCCGCCTGCTCCTGCTGCTTCGCCAACCGAGCAAGACGGGGGATTACTCGGGTAGCGATGAACGAACACCTGAGGTGTACATACACCCAAAAGAGGGAGAGTCACCAGCAGCAACAACAGCAGCAGCAGCAACAGCAGCAGCAGCAACAGCAGCAGTGGCAGCAATAACAACAACAGCAGCAGCAACAACAACAGCAGCAACAACAACAGCAGCAGCAACAGCAGCAGCAGGAGTGAGGCTCACCACACGCTGTCGTGAATGGCTCTGTCATGCGCACGTGCTGCAGCATTAACAGCTTGTTCTTGTTCTGGCGGCAGCAGCAACGCCTTTTGCTGCTGCAGCAGTTGAGGAATCTGCTGCTGGTGCTGCAGCACCTGTCTCCACGCCAGCTTCGTGCGCTTCTCTAGCAGCCACTTTCTTTGTTTACCCCTCTTCTTCAGCGGCACCCGCATTTGCTGCAGCGACTGAGGGAAGCGCTGCTCCAGCTGCTGCTGCTGCTGCTGCGGGGGCACCGGGGTGTATAGGCACCTGTTCTTCTGCTGCAGCGCAACACGCAATTCGTACTGCTGCTGCCGCACCCGCTGCAGCTGCCGGGTCCCAGGCATCCGCTGCTTCGGTTTGCTGGAGGCCATCTGCA